AAGATATTTAACATGCAACCCGCTATCTTGGATTTCAGCAGGTACACTAAAAGGACTTTGGACTGTGTCCTACATTTGGAAAAAGATCCACAACTTCCATTTTAAAAACAACCACCACGGACAAATACAGGCTTATAGCCACTTATCAGTCTGCATCAATGACACGCAATGTTAAACGAATCAACAGAAACACTTCAGGAACCTAAGCAGAACAAAGAAAACATTGAAGCCATGCACACATGAAACACTAACCCACACTGAACGCATCCCTGAAGGCCTGAGCTACGCTAAGTCAACACTCTCACAGCCTTCTGCTTTTTATACTAGCATCAACAACATTCCAAGGACTGAGGCCAGCTGTTTCCTTCCTACACAGAGTCAAAACCTTAAACTGTTTTGTCTCAATACACGATTTCAAACAGAGGAGTGAGCAGCATTAACAAATTCATATTTATTAAGGACGTACCGATTAAGGAACGCCGGGCCGATATCCGATTTTTTCATGTTAATATCTGCTAATGCCAATGATGACACTGAAGCATAAACATTTATAAAATTAAGAAGCTGGGACTACATCTACTTAGACCACCACTGCAGAAATAAATATAAGATTTCTCGGTATAGTCACAAACAGGGATGTGCATTTGAAACTAATTTTGATATTTAAACATCTGCTCACGAATGGACATCTTGACTGGGGTAGGAAGGTTGGGGGAAGGATCTTGGCTAAAATTAATGTAGCGTTTAGCAGTTTAGCATCACGCAGAGTAATACTTTTCAAAAATTGTTTATTATTCAGAAATAATAGAGAAATTAGTAGGTTTTTTGTTGGATGAGTAACATAAAGACAGTCTAAGATGATCTTATGAGCTAAAACTACAGCTATAATGATGGAGACTTCTACAGGGCTTTTTCATTTTCAGTGGACAATGTGCCAACATGGTTTGCCAAAGAAACCTATTTTAACTGTCTATCAGCCTAGCTATCTAGTGTAGTCTAGTCTGACAGTTCCGCTTTGTCCCAGCAACTAGAACTTTTTTCACAAATATCAGAAGGATTTATTTGCCCTCTACTTCACCACAGATGTGGTTAGCATCTCCAAAAGCAGCTCAAACTGAGTTACAGAGATCCGAGCTGTATGCGAAAGCTCTCATAATGTTCTAGCGGCTAAAGGAGGTGGTTTCCTAAACAGATATCAGCCTACACAATGTCATCATTCACCAGCCATTCTTAAGAAATTTCTTCTTCAAACCTACTTAAGTTGTTGTTATGAAGCTTCTGACATTTACCAGTGTTTTCTTAGTTGGGATCTGTTCTTAGGTGAGAACAGAATCTACATACGCTCCGGTGCACAAAGGTGTGAACAGTTCTGCAGTTTAAGAACATGTCATTAATCTGACATAGACCTTTTCTTAGGACCTTTCTCAAGAAGATATTGATGTATGAGGCCCAATGTCATTGCTTGCCTGTTTTTTGAGAAGCAAGGGATACCTCTGTCACTTGGAGACATCCTGACTGCTTCATTTTTAAACATGGCACCTGCATCACGTCTGGTGTGTATAGTTTTGATGTGAAAAAATTGCATCAAAATATTTCATATTTTCGTGTCATTTATTTGCCTCCAGTTCGGTGAGCAACAGCCTTAAAAATACATCCTTTGGCCACGAGCCCACATCACAACACTATAGCATTTTGCGTTATGTTCTGACATCATCGCCATCACAACAAAACATTGTGTCCCCAAAAAGGTAACTTTACAGTAGAATAAAAAAAAGTTTCTATAGCTATTTCTACAGTTATTCTGTTAGTCAGGAAAATTGGACACAGTCTAAAGGGCAGATGATGTTTTCATATTTTGTTTTTTTTCCCAAAAAAGAAAAAAAGAGGAAGATACAAGGTTCTGTTCTCATAGCAAAAATACTTACTTCCTCTTAAATGTAGCACATTTTACATGATTTTGCCCTGTATATTTTCTCACTGACCTTCCGTGACGCAGCATAATAAACCTCCAAACAGTGATTTCAGTATTCAAATACTGCCACCTGGAACCTTTAACCTTAATTATCTCCTTAACACACGTTAAAATGACCATATTACAAATTCACAACTTACAACGACTTCATAGATCTACAAATCATCAAAACAGCAGTTCTGACACCCTTTATGTCACGCTCACTGATTCAGGAATATGTCAAGCAGCTGAAAGCCTTGGTCTCCAGTCTCCAATCTATAAGTAAACACAGTGGCAGTTTTGTTGTTTTGGCTCAGTGCTCCAGCACGCTGGATCCCTTATGGACTGCACCGTTCTCTTATACGTTTAGGTGTTCTCCTGTGGTTTAGTGAATATAGTGCACATCAGTCGAAAGCCTATTCACTACCTGGACATCATATTCACTCATGGTACAAAGAAAGCTAACAAAAAAAAAACAGCAGAATACTGAACCTGTTGGTCAAGATTTTAATGGCACACAATCTAAGGTAGAATAACGACAAGTGGGAAAAGCACTGACTAAACAAGTAAAGTGTTTTGGCTTTTGTCAAACTGTTAATATTAACTGAGCAGAAAAAAGGGAACGTTACAAAAATCATGGACTTGTCAGCCTAAATGCGAGAATGTTATAGGTTTTAGACGAAATTATTCAGGGTAAGCAAAAATGCTAAAATTATATTCTCTTATATCCATAAAAGCATCATGTTGGTGTTCTTACTGATCTTTCTGAATCCTGCACCAACCACAAACGATAAGAGTCAGTGATAAGAGTGTAATGTTGTTCCACTGATAGGCTCTATCGTCATCACACAGCAATTTGTCCTTCGTTCTTTTCACAACACTGAGGCCTAATATCTGTGTTCTTAACAAAGACACAGTACAGTATATAAGTGACTTTCAACAGTGAACAAAGCTTACAGCATACAAAAAACGACTCCACAGTGGTTAGTTACAAAATCTCTCATACTTTTAGCCCTTGATTCCTGAATGAAACAAGTATTTACTCCGATGAAGCTCATGAAAAGGAAAGGGGGCGATAACATCAAGGTATTTTTTTTCTTGGCCAAAGTTTCGTGAAAAATACATTTTTAAAAAAGAAATTAAGTAGTTAGAAGAACCTTCTTGTGAACATTTTCACTGCCCAAAAGTGACCTTTTGATACCAAAATCCAACTTTCTATCAGATTTTTCTCATGCCATAGCTACTACAACACGCGTCCTTACAGTTTCTTTATGCAGTAACTTACTGGATGGGAATCAGCATGGAAGTCAACCTTAATACTGGTGCTGGTTGGTACTAACAAACTTTAAAATCACAGTATTTTCCAAGTAAATCGTGTTATCATGGCATCAGATGATATTTTGGTTAACACTAATAAAGCTAACGCACCCATGTGTCTTGAGTAATGGTACTCTATACTAAAATAATATCTTAAAAACTTGACATAGACTGTTCTGCACCAAACAGCAAATTCAACCATATTTCACCCATTATGGCAAACAGTATTTAACAGAATATAATGGTGTCATTAAACTTAAAGCTCGTTATCTATCAGTACCGCTGAAAATCTATGTTGTTCAATGACACCAATATCGGTATATCGATGCGATATATTGCCCAGTACTACTTACTAGCACTCCGTCTTTTGCCCTGATTAAACTACTAACTCTACTAACTCAGGCCGATATCTATTGCACTTAAGATTTTGTTCAGACATAAAGGAGAATTTCACCAGTTTTTCACAAATTTTGCATAATTCAGTTGCTGGGATGGAGACAAAGTAATTCGGAGTGGTTTGATGTAAAATGTCTCATTGTAGAGAAGGTTACAGGCACAGATTTCTTTACATTGGTGGTGATAGGAACCAGGGGTCACAATGTCCACAACAGAAATACAGCCATCTTCTCGGTTTTTCATGTAATGTTAAAGGTAAATTAGTGGAAAATCTGAAAAAGTGCGTTTTCTGTGGGGGCTACTTTGCCTTACAACGCCCTACATGTATCGCTCCACCATGAATGGATTAAAATAAATGGATTAACAAGATGTTTGGGCCAAAACGTGAATCACAAAACTATAGTAAAACAGTGTTTCAGGCATTAGGTAGGGTAATTTCATGCAGCTAGTAGTTAACTTTCTGTGAGGGAGCTTTTAGAGGTGGACGTCTGGTTCCCATTACCACCACTGTCAAAAATTCTGACTCTGTAGGATTACCCTAGAACGGAGCATTTTACACCAAACCACTCTCAATGACTTTGTTTACGTTTTAACCGTTTAATTATGCAGAAATTTTGAAAGACTGGTGGAATTCCCCTTTTAACGTGACACAGCTGTGAGGACAAAGCGCAAAGCGCAGATGAGGCAGTGTTGCCTGCATTAGACATTAGCTAGAGCTGGGCGTGAAGCACTACTAGCTACCTTATGTCCAAAATTTGGGCTAAGACTGTAAGATTACCCTGTATTGAAGGTGGACACCAAACCCAGATACTGTGTTATGGAACAGGCAGCTTTGTACCGGAGACAATGCGACACACCTGCCTGACCATATCTACGATGGAGGGCAGTTAACGTTAGCCACCTTTGCTAACCAACAAACCAGTGCAGCGCAAAAAGCAACGCTACTGCGGAACTTAAAAACTAAAGCTTAGGCTGACTAACCAACAATTAGATAAGCTATTTAAACTAGATAACTGCCGTTAAAGACTTGCTCAAAGCCCCAGAAAAGGAATGACTGCAGCTGTTTGGCTCCTTTCTGGTGCCGCAACGGAGGAAGCTTCTCACTATTCAAACACCAGCCGCAGCGGCGGCAACGCTACTGAGACAGCGCTACGTTCACCCCGTTTAGCCTGCTTCGGACAGCCGACAGTGAGCGAGTCTCAGTCCCGACCGCCTAATTCTGACTGAAAACCTTCACAGACATTTCTGACTGAGCCTTTACAACACGTCATAAAAACTGGGAAGGCAAACCCATCACACACACGCGCACGTACCACCTCCGCACTCCCAAACTCACCCTGTTTGACGCCAGGCAGTTTTTTCTGATCGATACTGAAATCTTCCATGTTGTCAAAACATTTGTTGTCAAATCCAATGATTCTCCGAAGGTCGCCGGTGATAGATTGACTGCTTTTTTTGTCAGACGTTCAATTGATGTCTCGAGTGTAGTATCCCCTTGATTGGTTTCTGGAGCCAACGAACGCTGCCAGAAAGCCTTTTCTTTTTTTTTTTCCCTCTCTCCCTCTCACCCCTCCCTCTGTCACAACACGGGCACGTTCAGCGCCATTTTACGTCGCGCTGCGTTGAGCGTGACGCACCGTTCGCTGACGTAACGCGCATTTAACGCCAATTCGCGGATCTCCAAACGAACAGCAGCACAAACTCCTGCGTGTAAATTATATGCAGATCGAATGTTCTGAGAGTCGCTTCGCAATGTTAATTATGCGCTGTATGTGCTCAGACAGAGATGTGTATGATAAATATGGCCCTGTTATGTTTTGCATGCAATCAGATTAGTGTTGTGTAGGAAACAGAAAATGTGCTTTAATGGAACGGGTGCCAGAAAGAACACTATAAATAGTCAAAACTCACCTCCTTGTACACTCACTTTATTATACGTACACCTGCATTGTACACCCTTTCATACATTACTGTCGTTGCTATTGTTACTGCTATTCTTTTCACTTTTTGGACGATTTATCACTTGCGAATTCATGAACATCTTTCGTTTTTCATTTGCCACTTTATAGACATTGCTGTAGATGCGTTCAACACACTGTCAATGCACCTGTGCATGCATATTTCTGCATATTTAGTTGCATTCAAGTTCAAGTGTTTCAGACACACACATTGCTAACGTATTCAATCAAGCACATGGCCAACAAGCTCATATAGGTGTGATGGTCAGGTGTCCACACCTGTCCTTTTGGTCATAATGTATACAGTTCTCTGTATATCATCTATATGTGTACTGTACAGCTATAGAGAATTACTTGAGTTTCACCGCTAGCATTTTAATGTATGGAAGTCCTTGGTGTACTCGACTTTCTACACTCATCGCCCATTTTATCAGGTCTACATACCATATAGGTGCACTTGGATCTACAGTCCATCTGTTTCTCTTACCAATGGTCATGATACCTACAGGACCACCCCAGAGCAGGTATTATTTGGGTGGTGGATCATTCTCAGCATTGCACTGATACTCACACAATATGCTTTGTTGGAGACTGTTGCGCTGGTAAGAGTGGATCAGACACAGCAGTGCTGCTGGGGTTTTTAAACACTGTGTCCACGTACTGTCCACTCTATTAGACATAAATACCTTTTTAAACCAATTTGTAGATGTCAGTTAGAAATGATGGCTTATCTGTTGCTGCACAGTTTGTGCTAGTTATCCTCTAGACCCAGCTTCTGACAACAGGACGCTGTTGGCTGTTTATTTTTGGTTGGTGGACTTTTCTCAGTCCAGCAGTGACGCTGGGCTGTTTAAAAGGCCCATATATTGGTTTTTTTTGGTTTTTTTTTGGGAATTAAAGAGTCTGAAGTTGGATGTAAACACTGTCAAATTTTCAAAATGTACCACTCTCTAGCCAGTCTATACAGTCAATAAATGGAAGCTATATTGCAAAAACAGCCTGTTTTGAATTCATTGTTTCTGTTAAGTCTTGAGGACCAACTATCCACTTATTCAGCCTACAGCAGTTTAGCTCCGCTGAAGTTCTGAGGTGTGTTTTGGTGCTTTTTGAATTAGGGCAGCCAATCAGAACAGAGCAGAGAAACAGATGGGCTACAATCTACAATAGTAGAACTAACTAGTGCACCTCTATGGTAAGTGCACCTGATAAAGTCGACAATGATTGTGGATACAAGGAAGACGTACCTAATAAAGGGAGAAGAGAAAAGAATGACTGGATTTAGACTGTATGGAACTGAATGTATTTTGTTTTTTATGCCTATGAGTATTATGAACAACATAATTTGTAAAATGGCATGTCAAAAAGAATCCACTTAATGGTCTGTCTTCGGTCCAAGTAGAAACCGAACAGTAGCCTAAGTATTGTGGCTGAATGAGAGCTTCTCGTTTATGTTTGAAATTCAATAACATCCCTAAAACGGCCAGCAAATGAAAGCATTGGAAAAACTGAAAGAATAAGAAGAAATGCATATTATTCCACAGAGTCTTTAGGCTCAGAGCTGGACACTCATTATTTCAGCAGTAACAAAGCTTGAATCTGTCTTCTGCACTGCTGAGAAGAAATGGTGCTGCTGATGAAGTGACAAAAGATTGACTCTTAATATTATCATCTCTTTAAGACATTTTATTTTAATGAGAGGCTATGCCATCGCCATGTCTGTCCAGGAGGACTGCCTGTTTGAGGCCGTTCTAGCTTGAGAGGCTGCTATGAGACATTACACAGATCTGCAAGCCAACCAATGATAGATCAATTATGTATACAGCTTCATACATTTATATCCAGTAAATACTCAAACGTGTCTAAAGGGTCCAGTTTTGCATTTCTAATTATAAGTGTCTCATAATATTATTTTCTAATGAGTAACTTAATTCACTTACATTTTAGCTTTATATGTCTCACAGCAGCTTTCCAGAAATGTAGGTTCAGTCCTCTAACAAGCATCACCGAGGACGACAGTGGCAGGACAATGGGCCGCATTCACCAACCGTGATGAAGCGTGCTGGCAAAATAACAGCTGACCCCTCTCATCCTGGAATCAACTCTTTCAGCCGCTTCCCTCTGGAATCTAGAAGATTCAGGGCCATCAAAACCAGCACAACCAGACATGCTAACAGCTTTTCCCCCAGAGCTATAGTGCTCATCAACCACAGTGGACACAGTGCACTTTAAACTGTACCAACAAACCTTCTCTACAGTATTACAGTGTAACTCCTCCTGTAGCATTATGATTATTTGCACTACTGTAGAAGTATTTTGACAAATATTAATATTACTCTGTAATATTCTATATATAATAGTTTTTATAGTATATTTCATAGCACATGTCTACTTGACATATATATATATATGCACAGACATTTATATCTGCATATATACACATCATATATGCACATCTCCTGAGCTTCTTTCACGTTGGCTGTTTTTTATTATTACTCTTTATTCTATATTGTATTTACTGTATTTGTATGTGTGATTCACCAAGACAAATTCCTGGTATGTGTAACATGTTTGTGGAAATAAAACGATTCTGATTCTGAAGTTTGTTCAAAAATTCTCCTACCATTTTTAGTCACTCTTCTCAGGCTTCTGATCATGGAGGGCTAAGTCAGCGCAAGATTTACATTCATGATCTCACATCTTCTGACAACTGGGCAGATAGACTGTTGTGCCACTGTTACGTGATGAACATACAAAAAGAAACAATGAACACTTTTACACTTTGCTCTAGTTTACTTCATTTATTTCATAGGCTGAGAGTACTGGGTGATGAGGGAGTGTAAGCCTGTGGGTGGGAATTAGTAATGACTAAACTGGGGGAGGAAGTGAAGACGTAAAAACACCAAAAAAAATCTTAAGCAGTTTCTACTCATACAGATTTCTTTTTGAGTAAGTTCAACTTAGAACTGTTTTGTTGATATAACCTAAAATGCAGTACTAAAAATGTTTTAAGGTAGGCGAATGTAGTATAAGGAGTCTTGCCCAAAGACACTTGTTGGTATAGCACACTGTTAGAAATAAAGGTTCTGTGCAGGTACATTTTTCATTCGTCAAGGTACAAACACTGTAAATGTTCCCTCAAAGGTACAACAGTGGTTTTAAGGGCCAATTGTGAACCTTAAATAAGTTCTTCCCAGATCAAAAGTACGTATTTGTACCTTTTCATAACCTAATGTTTTAAAACAGAACAATAAAATAAAAAGGCTGGAGACGAGACGGGGTGTGTGGAGTCAATACAGCTTAGACAATATAGTTTCTATGGATTATGATACAATTAATTCTCTGACTAAAGGTACTGAGGTATAACCTTGAAGGTACCACCCCAGTGACAAGAGGGGGACTGCCCTAGAGACAGCTTTTTACCTTTTTTTCTTAGAGTGTATAGAGTTCTTGCCTGGGGATCGAACCCCAGTACCATGAGGAACAGTGGACAGCAGAGTTTCTCCCATCTGCCATATCAAGATACATTCTAAATACACTCTGAATGTATTCTGAATATGTCCCTTTTTATGAGTTGTAATGGAATTTGTTACTGAATACGTTTAGTACAGTACAGTCAGTATCCAGACATCACTAGCTTTTTAAAGTATTCTGCCCAACTCTGCATTTAACCTGTTCCTGAGCTGTGAAGCCTGGAATAAAGCACTACAGGCAGCCCACGAAGTGCACGATTCAGGTTCTGGGAGTCAACATAGTACATCTTGCTTGGACATCATAAAGTAAGAAGTAGCATAAATAAAATTACTGTCAAAAGTTTAGACACACTCAATTACACATATGTTTTCACAAGCTTAAATCATCGTGATCTACAGGCTCATGTGGAAATGCTTGAAAAGATGTTATGTAAACAAAATCTAAAGGGCAGGTCATGTCTATTTATGAACTTCTTTCCAGAATTAACATTTTAAAGTATTTTTTGTCTCCAAAACAGAGCCTGAAAAGATAATTAATTTCTATTACCTGGCCATTTTCCAACCTCTCTTTATCCCTTAGAATGAAACAGGCTGTTTTTGTTACCGTGCCTTTAAGACTGATATATGTAAATGAGCTCTGTTCTGATTGGCTGTCTTTTATTGTGCCTCATGGGTGGAACGGTGGTGCAGTGGGTAGTGCTGGGTTCGACTCCCTGGCCGGGCGACCAGGATCATTTCTGTGTGGAGTGTGCCTGTTCCCCCCGTGTCTGCGTGGGTTTCCTTCGGGTTCTCCGGTTTCCTCCCACAGTCCAAAGACATGCAGTCAGGCCAATTGGACACTCTAAATTGTCCCTAGGTGTGAGTGTGGCTGTGAATGCATATGTCTGTCCGTCTGTCTGCCCTGTGATGGACTGGTGACCTGTCCAGGGTGTATCCTGCCTTCCACCCAATGACTCCTGGGATAGGCTCCAGCTCCCTTGCGACCCGGAAAGATAAGCGGCTTAGAAGGTGTGTGTGTGTGTGTGTATTGTGCCTCATTCAACAAGCAGTCTTGGCTGAAACATTCCTCATGACTTCAGCATAAGTGGGTGGGACTAAACAGCTATAAGCTAAATAGGTGGATATATGTAAATAGGAAGGTTTAATGACATCACAAAACCAGTGAATTCAGCACAGGCTGTTATAGCAGTTTCTGTTCTGTATATAGACTGTATGGACTGGAGAGCGAACAGTAGGTTTTGAAATTTGGACACGCTAATGTTTAAGTTTCACATACAACGTTCAACTTTTTTATTTAAATAAAACAAAGGAAATTCTCTTTTTCCATGATACGGGCCCTTTAAATATATTGTTTCAATGGGAACAAAACCTCTCCAGAATGGTAACTTTAAGGAGAAGGAAAAATGTTCTTAACTTTTATTTTAAGCAAGATTTTTTTCCCCGAGTAATTTAGTAAAACTTTCTATTGGTCGCTTTATCATGAAGAAATAATAATAATAACAATAAATTGATAAAATAAAGAAGATGTTTTCATGTGCTAGCAATGACATACAAAGTGTAACATCCTGGAATATTGAAGATTTTAGTGTGTCAATTATGCTTTGTAAAGCTATAAAGTATCAAGCCTTAAGATGAACAAGAGAAGTAGCTTATTGCCTCAAACAGTAAATCTAATTCTCTCCTTCTTCTCCATCATCCCTTGTGTTCTTGAAGCCTTTTAGGCAAATGAAAAGAACAGTGCCAGGTACACTTGCATATCCTCACTGATACACTGCATCCACATAAATAAGGCCTCAGTGATTTATAGGTGTTCCGGTGTTGTTGTTTTTATTAGTCTGATTGATAAGGGACATTGGCCCTGAGGCTGACGTCAGATCATCACTCTCGTCTGTCACCGTCCCGCGTCTGAAGACAGTCCGTTGACGAAAAAGTACCACGTCGTCAACGTATTGATTTGCAGCGATGACATATTACTTCGGAGCACCTGATTAAAAGTATCCCTCTTGAAGGGACCACGAGCAGAAGAGCCTTTGGTCACAGAGAGGTAACCATCACTGAGAGCATCACTTCAGGACCATGGACAGAATTCCCTCAGCGAACCTTCTCCCCACGCTCCTCACCTTTTTACTCCTGCAGGGCGTTCTCAACGTACAGACGAGGAGCCTCGTGGGCTCTGGTGAGTAAAACTTTCATCTCGCAGCATGTCTATTAGAGTCATTTTAAAGAAAAACTCAAGTGTTTTTCAACCTGATCTCTGTCTGTTAGATATGTTATATCTGAAACATACAGTTAATTACAGACAATTATTTGAAAGCATTTCTGCACACGTAGTAAAAGATCAGAAAACCTGTTGACATGCTTATAATAGTAGTCAATGGGCAGATGCTGAAACACCTTCCCATTGGCTCCTATTATAAGTGTGATTTTAGTTAACAGGTTTTTTCTTTTTTTCTGCAGGACACAGGAAAATTGCCATCAATCATAGAGAGCATATTACAAAATAGTTGTTTTGATCTAAAGTAAAACACACTTAATTTACTTGTGTCTCTTCTGTGGCTCATGCTTTTGCAGGGAACCAGGTTTTCCAGTCAAAGGACGATGCTGATATTCAGAACAGAATTCTTGCTTTGTTACTGCATAAAAACATTATTCCAGACCAAGAAGATATAATTGGTAATGGCAAGGCATAAGTATAGTTCTGTATTATATTCACAAAATGTGTTTTGTATATTTCTCATAAACAGTAGGCATACATAATAACACTTAGTTCATCAAACTGTGTATATATTGTAAACACAGCATATTATTTTGTGTTTCAGGACTTGAGTTGGGCAGTAGGATTGCAGAGCTACAAGAGGTAAAGTATAATCACTTATTTTAGAAGATTTGACTGGAGTAAAAGTGAATGAAGTGCATAGAAAAGAATTTACATTTGAACTGTGAGCATCAGAGTAACTGAGTACGCATCTCAGCATCTTAGGGCTGGCAGTGGTGTTTGTTCTAAACGCACCGCGATGTCTAAGCTTATTCTGCATTCTTAGGGTCATTATTAGGTTCTCTTCTTTGTTATGGACCACAGCTCATTAGCAGAGGTGGTTCTTCAGATTGATTCTATAAAGCACCAAAAAGTGTTCTTCTATCTTTTTATTGTTACAAGCTTGACATCAAAACAACAGCAGACCTCTTTTTGGTGCTATATAGAACCATATGCAACTCATTTTCCATCAAGCTGAAGAACCATTTAAGTGTGAATTGATTCTATGTAGAGCTCATGGTTCCAGATACATACATTGCCTTTAGTAAAGAAAGTAGTTTTCCTGTAGGACAGCTTTAGATCATTTTAGAAAACCATCACATGCATCTGGAATCAGTCCCAGAACACCTGTTAAACAATCAGAACATTCTGTAGTGTCAACACATCAAGAAAACAAAAATTAACATTAATGACTTTTGGACAACAACAGGAACGAACAGACATTTTTAATGGATTTTATAAATTTTTTCATCAGGGTGAATCTTTCGCTGGGCTGTAAACTGAATCTGAGAACATCAGGACCAGCTAAAAGTAGCTGACAAATTTGAGAAAAGATACATTCTGTACTATAAAGCTTATTGTATGAATCTTGTTTCAGCTGGAAGCCCTCAGAGAAGAACTGAACCTCAAGAGGCAGCTGGGTTCCAGAGCAATGGACAGAACAAATTCTCAGCCCAGCAAAAGGGGGGATGGTGAGTTCTGTTTTTCTCAAAAAAAACAAACAATAGCAGCAAAGATATACATATATATATATATATATATATATATATATATATATATATATATATATATATATATATATCGTTGCTGCTATTGTTTGTTTTATTTATATATATATATATCCCTGCTGTTGGAAAAAAAAACTCATATCTCCATTTGTATCATTTTGTAGTTTTTGCCATACTTTGAAAATGCCTGTTGTCCTTGTATGTTGAGTGTATGAATGCGACTTGCATTAAAATTAAAGTATGTTTTTTCCTTCTCTTTTGAAGTGACCATTTTGGAGATATGAGGTTTTATTCCGACATCAGTGATACATATACATTTATACAAATGCATACATGCACTGTAGAAATGGACATAAGTGAATGTGAAGCACCTCATGGAACTGGTTGGTAACTTGCTTACTCACTCGCTCACTCACATATGCCCAATCTAAATCTCCAGGCTTCTTCAGACTTGCAGACGTGCAAACTTAACATGCTTGTCACTAAGAAAGTCCACAGGACCCTAGGCTTGTCTAATTCGGCTGTTCACCTTGGCTGTGAGGGGACCTATACAGAGTTTTTGCAAACTCTGTTTGGACGCGGGCTGTAGCAGACTTTGCTTGTGGAGTTATTCAAAGTGGAACGCACATAATGAATTAAGAGTTGATGAGGAGTTCCAATACACATAGAAATAAACAAAGAATATCTTCCAACGTAAGCAACACACACTTCATCGGCAAATGTGTAGATTTTTATATTAGTATCAACCATGGAAATGAGTCCAGCTTAAGTTCCCTCTAAGTAGTCTTTTCATAAGCATGCATGTGTGTAGCTTATAGAACATATCAGTCAAACAGCTTTTGATGCTTCATAAGAGTGGTGTGTTTTATCAATGACACTATGTGTCCTTGTTATTTTATTAACAGGTTTAGGCATCTGTCTATGTGCTGTCTGCTTTTGAAATCCTTTGTTTTTGTCTTTGCAGCCTGTTTTTGGAAGTACTGTGTGTGATGTCCACTTCTGGAGGAAGAAAATTGTCCACTGCCTTAATATCACTACAATAACAACAGGGAAATCCTTAAGAAGATAGAAAAACATGATGTTTCATAAAAAGTAGCAAACCATTATGTTTTTTTTCTTTGATAGTTGTATGAGCTTCCTGTATCTTGTATGAGTATCACTGACTGACATAATAAATGGATTAACTAAACATGTGATCAATCCCTATTCACAAATGGCATAACTCTCTTGCACCAGCTATGTCAACTTCTGAACATGCATAATGCACCACGTTTTTTGATTGGCCAGTATAACCTCTCTCACTCTTTATAAACTGACTCTTTCATAAGGTTTTGTCTCCCTCTAGTGGCGAAGAATAAAGTCTCTCACTGATTCTAAACCTATTATGTCTCAGCTGTTGAACCTGAAACGTCTGCTTGTGTTCTGAAAAGCATCTTTCAAAAGTAGCAGTCTTTATATGGTGGGTTCTTCTTAAGTGGTTTGGTGTTAAATGTTAAGGTGTAGAGAAACCTAACAAGTCAAAATTATTCACAATGGTAGTCAATGGAACCAGACGTCTCCAAAAACTCCCTGAAAGTTATAACACAAATATGCTGCCTGATGCCTAAGACATTGTTTTGTGATGTTTTTGCTGTAATGTTTTGGTCTAAAAATATTTTTTAAATCCATTCATGGCAGAGAGATCCAAACAGGGCATTGTAATGGACAATAGGACCTAAAAAAGGCTTACCCTGCTGTAAAGACCAGCACAGGCCAGCATCAATTTCATGCTGGATTAAGCTGCTTTATACTGGTCTGGTGCTGGTTTAGCTGGACACTCAGCATGGTCTTGATGGTTGATCAGCATACCTAACACAAATACATGAATGCAAAACACAACAAATGCTGGTTTTCCTGGTGATCAGCACATTAACGGCCAGCACTTTCCATGAATAGAGTTCAGTTTAGGTCCCGTTACCTTTTTAGAAGCAATAAAGTGACTGTTTTTATCATCAACATGAAGGCACCTGCACTCTTATTTAAAATAAACCAATTAAAATTGCACTTAAATGATCACATGAGCACATAAAATGTTTGTATCCATGTTTAACATGGTAATTCTGGGCTGCCTCACTGACCTACTCTATGAAATGTATTAGTTCAAATCTTCCAGTACACCAAAATTACAGTGTTATTTGGTTAAATTAAAAGCAATTTATGCCTGAAATAAGTATTTTTCCCTAAAAATTTATTTAATTTAACAAAAAACGTAATTTTAACCCCATGTGTCCCATATTTTATGCACAACTCTGTTACCCAAACCTGCCCCCCTCATAAAAAAGGAACATTCCATTTATTATTAAATACAGGAATTTATATGATCTTTTAACCTTCAATCATTTTAAAATAAACGTTAAATGAAACTTAACAACAGGTTTTTAAATGGCATTTATACATCTCCCTAAAAATTGGTACCAGGGTAAAACAGCCTATATAGTATCAGATTTGACAGCCTGACAAACACAAAAGAAAAAAGTACATTTTTGAAGAGCTTTGAGGCATAAATGAGCCCCATTCATAGAAAGTGTTTTCCATTGTTGATGACCATCATACCAGCATCCAAAACACAAGACATGCTGGTTTTGTTGGCGACCAGCTATGCTGGCCTATGCTGTTTTTTCTAGCAGGATATCTTTGCAGATTTACCACTGCTTTATCATTATCAACAACACTCTTGGTGCTGTAGACATCTCAACCTTGGCCCCTATCACCACGATTGTAATCTGTAGTCCACTGTGGATGACTACATCTTAAAGACTGGATTATTTAGCAAGAAACTTACCTTTTAATAACCCACATTTCAGACATGTTCAGGCTTTGTTAATAGAAGCATCTTGAAGACGGCCTACTGTCGTATAAAAACCTGAAAACGATACTGAAATATTCTTAATAAAGTCACATAAAACAGGAGTCTTCTCTCCAAGCCCTAGAGGGCACCATTCAGCTTAGAGTTCTCCTTCCTTTAATATAAACAATAAAAGTCTTGCAGGGTTTGACAATTGGCTAATGCTAAATTAGCAGTAGTTGTGCTAATAACTGAGGCCCACCAGGACTGGGAGTGAAGAAGAGTCCATGAAAGTAAATAAACGATCAGTGAATAAAAGTCTGTTATATTGTGATATCAACCCATTAAACCCAGAACCCATAAAAAAAACATCAGGAACCAAAGGAAACACTTAATGGGTCTTAGTAGTTTGTAAAGTAACTAGCATAGCTATCATAACAGCTAACCCAGCTGGAGCCTTAGTGAGCTTTAAACAGAAGATTTTATTCATTTACCACATTAAGGTCGGTGTTCTTTACTCCGTTTTGACTGTGTTTTGTTGAATTTCTGGAATTCTGGTTGAAATTCTCATTTCTTATTAGCATTATACAAATGTTCCACTGCGCTGCTGAAAAAGGACAATTAGAAACCATTTAGATTTAAACCTAAAAGGTTTTTTTATGCACATCACTGTCACTGCTAAGTTAAGAGTGGTCAGCAACCTAAAAATATCCAGCCAAGAGTGCTTTTCTGATCACAAATTGACCACTGATTAAGGGTTAATCAAGGATCAAGGAAAACAGATGGGCTGCAGCCTCCAACACCACACCAGCAAGGAGGACCTACAAGGTAAGTGTTCCTAATAAAGTTGCCAGTAAGTGTACAATTATTAGAAACATATAGAAATGAACTGACCACGTTATACCATGGCCTCAAATGGGGCCTCTCACATTTCCCACCTCCAACAAAGACTGAAAGAAGCTTCGGCACGCAATTACTGTTTATAGCAGCTAGTGGTAGCTGAGTCACTGGCTGTGGCCGGACACTGCACCGTTGTGCAGATAGAGCTCTATCATCCACAGGCAGACACCATGTCATGAGAGGCAGATGAAAAATGGGAGGAAGTAAAAGAGAAAGAAAGAAGGAGACAGAGGAACTAGATTATGTCTCTGATATAAAACGCTGTGCCAAGTTGTCAGTTGTTCCCAGTACAACAAATGATGATCCTATATGGGCCAGACGATGCACTGATGACTCATACAAGGACCAGAGATGGATAGAGAGGGTGCAGGATGCTCCGTAATTAGTTGACCTTGTGTACATGAAGTGTGTTTGGGTATTTGCGCAACAAACCAGTGTTCTACCAACGATTATTTAATCTGTATATTTTGACAATTTGACAATCATAACCACTTAATTTGTGAAGTCCTCTTGCAAGTACAAATAATTGGTGAAACTGATGAATGCAAAAAATTGTTTCTCCATTTTGCTCTTATCCTTTTTTCCATTTTACATTGTGTGAATGAACCTTAAATAGTTTAAGTCTGTGAAGCCACAGTATAATCAGGAGGGTCAGTTCATGCAGGTGAGGTTTGCACAGCGTTGTACAGCAGGAAGCTCCATGGTGGTCAAACTGGTCCAGCAGAACAACATTTGAACAATATTTGAGCTTGTTTCTCTGGGTACAATTATGTTACATTAACTTAGAATAAAAATTGAAAGAATGTTGTTTTGTTTCCTTATCCTGTTACCACTTTGGAAATACAAGGTTTTGTTCCCTACAGTGATGATACGCAACTGGACAATACACACTACAAATAGAAAATGGACAATGCAGACTGCAAATGGTAAACAAATAATACAAATAAATGCAAAGACATTTAGAACAGCAGGTACACCAGACACTCCGCTAATAGACCTTACAGTTTTGTTATGACAGGGACGATATATATCACATACTATATCATATGTCAACTTTTAATGCATGTGATGACATAAATGAAACAGGAGGAGTTCCAAAACAAAATAAAATAAAAAAAAAAAAAACATTTTAAACAACCAAATGAAGAATATCTTCCACAGTAAGCAACATACAGTTCATGGGTAAATCACAGATTTTGGTATAAATGTCAACCAGGGAAGATTCCTCTCATTAGTGTTTTTATACAGTAAAAGTTTGAATACCCCCAAAAAAATTATGTTTTGTTGACTTAAGTGAAAATAAGGTAACATATTCTTTACTGTGAACCCTCACAGAGCAGGTACTATTTGGGTGGTGGATCATTCTCAGCACTGCAGTAACGCTGATGTGGTGGTGGTATGTTAGTGTGTGTTGCGCTGGTTTGAGTGGATCAGACACAGCAGTGCTCACTTACAACATCCACAAAACATGTAATTTAGCCAAGGCTGCCAGTTTGCATATAATCTTTATTTTATATACATACTGTATGGCCAAAAGTATGTGGTTACCTGACCTTTACACCTATATGAGCAATATGAGCAAAACCATGGCCATTAATATTGAGTTACAGCTATAACATGTGTTAGTGGGAATTTGTGCCCATTCGGTCAAAACAGTATTTGTGAGGTTGGACTAGATGGCCTGGCTCGCAATTAACTTTCCAGGTCATCACAAAGGTGTTCAGTGGGGTTGAAGTCAGGGTCCTGTACAGTCCACTGGAGCTCATCCACACCAAAGTCGACACACCATGTATTAATGGACCATGCACAGGGGTACAGTCGTGCTGGAACAGGAAAGGATCTTCCCCAAACTGTTGCCACAAATTTGGAAGCATAACATTGTCTACAATGTCTTTGTATGCTGTAGCATTAACATCACCCTTCACTTGAGCTAAGGGGCTGAGCTCAAAGCTTAAATAATAGCACTTACAGTTGACCAGAGCAGATCTAGCGGGGCAGAAATTTCATGATCTGACTTGTGACAAATCCTATGACAGTGCCACGTTTTAAGACTTTGAGCTCTTCAGTATGACACATTCCACTGCCAGTGCTTGAATATGGAGACTGCAAGGCTCTGTGTTTAATTTTACATACCTGTTAGCAATGGATGTGACTGAGACACCTAAACTCTGTAATTATATACAACCCCATTTCCAAAAAAGTTGGGACGCTGTTCAGAATGTAAATAAAAATAGAATGCAATGATATGCAAATCATGTAAACCATATTTTTAAGAGGGAAATACTACAAAGACAGCACATCAAATGTTGAAACTGGTTTTTTAAAATATATATGCTCATTTTGAATTTGATGCCAACAACACATTCCAAAAAAGTTGGGAAGGGGGTATGTTTACCACTGTGCTGTATCATCTCTACTTTTAACAACACTCTGTAAGTGTTTGGAAACTGAGGAGACACTGCTGTAGTTTTGAAAGTCAAATGTTTTCCTGTTCTTGTTTGATATAGGATTTCAGCTGCTCAACAGTTCAGGGTCTCCTTTGTCATATTTTTCATTTCATAATGCACCAAATGTTATCAGTGGGTAACAGATTTGGACTGCAGGTCAGTTTAGCACCTGGAGTCTTTTAATATGGAGCCATGCAGTTGTACTATTTGCAGAATGTGGTTTTACATTGTCTTGCTGAAATAAACAAGGTCTTCCCTGAAAAAGACGTTGTATGGATGGCAGCATATGTTGCTAAAACATGTACCTATCATTCAGCAATTACTATTTTATGTAGAGAAACGTTATTCTTGAATTGTTGCCCTATTTGATCATGCAATCTTTCACAGAGTGGTGAACTCCTCCTCATCTATACTTCTGAAAAACTCAACCTCTCTGAGATGCTTTTTTATACCCAATCATGTTACTGACCAATCAACCACCAGGTGTTTTTTTTTTTTAGCATTACACAACTTTACCAGTTTTTGTTGCCCCGTCCCAACTTTTTTTGGAACATGTTGTTGGCATCAAAATGGGCATATATTTTTCAAAAAACAATAACAACATCTGTTTCAAGTTTCAACATCTGATTCATCTGATTCAGAGAGTGTGTGCGTGTACATATATACCATTTCTGTTGGACTATTGTGCATGAAAATGCTTTGTTTCAGCAACGTGTATATATATATATATATATATATATATATATATATATATATATATATATATATATATATATATATATATATATACGTTGCTGAAACAAAGCATTTCCATTTTGTTTTTTATATGTTTACATTTTGTGCACATAGTCCAACAGAAATGGTCCAAAATTACTCATTGCCTTGACTTTCAGTAAAAATTCTACAGACCACCCATCAGAGCGGATTCAGGCATGCACGTGGTCTCCTGTTGCTCTGTAGATAAATTTTAAGGAAATACTCCCTTCCTAATGATCTTTTACAAAGGGGCAGCTGCATCATTCCAACAAGACATTCTGTGGTGTACGAGAGGTAGGCAGACTTTGATGATTTATTTGGTTCATTGAAGTACTTAAGTAGTATTACCTTATCACTGTTTATATCACTGAAGAGGAGATTTCTGTAAAGATATAAATACTTTCTTCATCAAATGTTTCAAACTTCTGGTTTTTATTTTTTTATGAATGTCATAATATATTTATGTTTTATGTACCAGTCCTCATCTTTACAGTGATATATTAGGAAAGAATAGAACAAATATTTCTATTTTATTGTATAATATTTCTGTTGCTATTTGTAAGGGTATTCAGTTCTGGTCCTGGAGCGTCAGTGTCTGGCACAGTTTGGTGATTTCCCTGCTCAAACACACCAGCTAATCCTGGCAGTTAAGGGATGAGTTGGTGTGTTTGTGCAGGAAAATCACCAAATGGTGCCGGGCATCGGCTCTCCAGGACTTGTCTGTCCAGGGGGAATTTGTATAACAAACACTCTTAAAAATGATGGCATCAAAAATGGTTCTTTACAGTGATGCCACAGAAGAACCACTTTTGGCTCACTAAAGAACCTTTGAATGGATGGTTCTTTAGATAACCATTTTAAGAATTTAATAATTATAATAATAATAATTTAACTAATGTAAATGTACTATACCAATTACATGTTCTTTCCCTTACATCCAAGCTTGTAACTACTTAAGAACCTTTATTTTTAAGCGTGTACAATTTACATTGAACAGTGAGACAGGAAAGATGCTAAAAAGTGTTTTTGCATGTTGCCATAGAATAAGCACTTTTGGTTCCCTAAAAACCTTTTTTGTAAGTATTATGTTTATGTGAAGGCTCTCTGAGTCTTCATACGCAAACATGGTTCTTTAGGGAACCAAAAGTGGTTCTTCTATTCATTCCTTGAAAACCACATTTTTCTTTCCTCTTTCTAGTGTGCACTCTTAAAACTAAAGGTGCCAAAAGGAACCAAAAAGGTTTATTTGGAGTGGTGCCATAGAGACACTTTTGGTTCCCTAAAGAACTTTTTAATGGATGGTTCTTTCAGAAATGAGATGTGGGAGAGTGAAGCATCTTTTAAAAGTATGTAAAAGTTCTACATAAATTGTCACTTTTTCATAGAACCACCGATCTGTGCCAAGAACCATTTGGGAATGTTTATGTTTTTCAAACAGAGAGATACTGTTATTAGTACCTACACGTCAACCTTAAAAGTAAAAGTGCCAAATAAACCCAAAAAGGGTTCTTTGCAGTGACGCCATAAAGCCACAAATGGTTGCCTAAACAACCTTTCAATGGATGAGTGTTAAAGAACCAGCCTATGAATGAAATGGGCATATGAAGAACCTTATGAAGTTTAAAGCATGTCAACATAATGCAAATGTTCTAAATCTATTATATGTTCTTTGTAGAATTATACATACAAGCCAAGAAGCATTTATGAACCTTTATTTTTAAGAGTGTACATGTCGTTTTGTGAGATAACTGTGTAAACCTGTTGGCTAACTTATTTATGTACTGTTCCACAGTCTGAGAGCATGTTGTTCATTCTTCTCCTCCTCCAACTGGCATCACTGCTCCCTCTCGGCCTCTTCTGCCCCAGTGGCTGCGTGTGTGTTTTAGAGGGGGGCGCCAAATGCACAGGGGCCATCACCGACATACCGCCTGTGGATGCCAGTCACACCTTCCTCCTGAGACTTAATGACACTTCCATTAAAGTCCTGAAAGCTCAAAGCCTTCAGCATCTCACTCTCTTACTGAGATTTAGCATCACCCACAGTTCTCTTGACACCATCCATCCAAAAGCCTTCTACGGCGCTTCTCAGCTCCGGTCAATCATGCTGTCTCATAATGCCCTCTCAGTCCTTCCACCCGAGGTGTTCAGCAGGTTAGGCAACTTGGAGCAGCTGCGTCTGGAAGGGAATCAGCTGGCGTCTCTCAGTGCAGACATATTTCAAGGGCTGGTCAATCTCACTGAACTGAACCTCAGTAAAAACCAAATTGCCAAGCTGGATGCCAATGTCTTCCAGGGCATGATAAGCTTGAGTGAATTGAACCTGAGCGGGAACCAACTGCGCAAGTTACCGCAGACATTGTTCCACAATCTGGTGCAACTCAAGTCACTGATTCTGTATTCCAACCAGCTGGAGACTCTGGAGAAAGGTTCCTTTGATCATCTGCCCAAACTATTGGTGCTAATGCTGAATAAGAACCAAATCCGAGAAATCCCTCCACAGCTCTTTTGGCGCATACCCTCTCTACTGACCCTGACTTTGTCTAACAACCAACTCCAGTACCTTCCAGTTGAAAGCTTTTACTTTCTACCAAGCATTACTAAACTCACCCTCTACAACAACCCCCTAATCTCTCTGCCAGAGCAGCTAATGGGCCACATGCCTAGACTACAGGAGCTCTACCTGTATAATACCAATCTTAGCACTGTGCCTTGGAACCTCTTTGCTAACATGACAGGCCTCAGGGCTCTCAATTTTCACTATAACGAAAAGCTCAGCTCCTTGCCAAGGAACCTTTTCTGCTGCCAACCCAATCTTCAAAAGCTATCTTTAAAATACAACAGTCTTCAGCATCTACACCCAGACCAGTTTTCACAACTTGTCAGTCTTAAAATCCTTCTGCTCAATGATAATGCGCTTCAGTCCCTTTCGGCAAGGATCTTTCGTAACCTCCCATATCTAGCCAAACTCGAGCTGAGTCATAACAACTTAAGCTATCTTCCTGGAGATGTTTTTGAGGGTGCAAACTCACTACAGTCTGTCACTCTTGGGCACAATCACTGGGACTGTGTATGCAGTATTATGGACTTTGTAGAATGGATCAAGAAGAACCAAAGGGTAGTTACAGATCTAGATGACGTTCTATGTGATGGACCTTATCGCTTACAAAACCACAAGCTCGTCTCTTTAACCTACGACAGTCTCCAGTGTGGCATCACGATGGCCTCGACCAGACATGAATTTGTGACGACTGCTTCAGTGATCCGTTCGAAAACAACAGCCCCCCCACGTCCCCGACAATCTCCCAATACATCCACCACCACAAGCTCACAAGCTAAACATACAACCATAAGCACTATGTCTGCTTCAACTCCATCTTCAGCCTCGAGCTTTTCACCCCATAGCTCTCCTGAGACCTCACCGTCCACTCCTTTAACCGAGGAACCATTCTATGTAGTAGTCAATGCATTCTATGACACCGTGGTCTTTGACAGTTGCCCTAATATTGTTCACAGTAATCGTTACAAGGGCTGGGTGTACCTCTGGACAGTACCTGCTACTGGACTATATGGTGGACTCTTGCTGGCCCTGCATATTGTGCTCATAGCCACTGGTGTTATCCTGATTGTTGCCAGCGCTTATGTATTGTATCGTCTTAACAAGGTGGTGTGGGAATTAGGGAGAGCTGTTACCAGAAATCACACAATAATAGTTAAAAGACTGCCAAGTTTCAAAGGCAAACGCTAGAAAAAGAATATGTTTCATTTTGAGTGATATCCAAGAATATAGTCCATTTCTCTGATTAAAGCATTTATTGTTTTCTGTTGTATTCATATATTCCTGTGGGCTTTCAAGGTTTCCTAGTCATAGTAAGGTTTCCTAGTCATTTTCCATAGTATAGTCCATTTTAAAGCATTTATTGTTTTCTGTTGTATTAACTCTTTCATATATTCATAAATTCCTGTGAGCCTTCAAGTTTTCCTAGTCACAAATACTTGACCTTCAGGTGGAAAAAGTTATGAACACACTTCTGCACATTTTCATTTATACTTTGCCACTTGTGTGGTGTTCGGGTCAGTGGGACTCATTTTCAATGTTTACCAAAAGAAAAAATTATGCGATTTATTATTATTTCAACCCCAGATTCTTTGGCCTTTCCTCACTTTCTGTGAAGAACATATAAAATAACACATTTTCAGTGACTTCACACTGTTACACCCCTAAATATTTAAATTACACGTGGTGTTGGGGTGAACCCGCAGGGAATAAAAGTGTGGAGGTGCTGTGTCCCTCCACTCTGTTCTACTCCTACATTACAGAAATTGTCATGTCTGTATTGATTTTAAGAAATAAAAATGCGGTGGGTCACCCAGACCCACTGAGTAACAAAAACATGAACACCACACAAGGGTTAAAATGCAGAAGTGTGTTCTCAACATGTTTTGCTTATTTGCTTCCATTTCTCTGTTGAAAGCATGCATTGTTTTCTGTTGTATTAACTCTTTCATATATTCATTTTTTCCAGTTTTTATTTTTCCATATAATTTAATCAAAGCAGCTGTCCTTTCCAGTGTGTACTAATGTACTAATATGCCTTTATGTTTACTTAAGGAATCTCTTTTAATGAATTTTTTTCAATTATTTCATATCTATTATAGCATAATTGAATTAACAATGATTTATGCTTATTTTTAAAGAGAGAATATAGAAAATGTATTTATAATGCTGATATTTATTCCCTCTTTCTCTCTGTAACAGCAAATAAAAAGTCCCTTTACAGTCAAGTTGTTGTTATTGTCATGCAACATGCAACCTGGCAGAATGATAGACGCACCTTTAAAAAAGGGGTTCAAGTGTTAGTAAAGGCAATGGTTCTATTTAGAACCCTGAACACTCAAAGAACCATCTGAATGCATGGATATGCTTTGCATGGTAAAATGGTTCAACTCCACCATGGAAAACCTGTTGTCTATGGTTCTTTACAGAAGCCTTTTTGAATGGTTCTATACAGCACCAAAAAGATTCCTTTATTGTTACAATATAGAACCATTTTTCCTAAGAGTGTGCAATGTACACTCACTGGCCAAGTTATTAGGTACACTCACCATATAGATGCACTGTGTAGTTCTACAGTCACATAATGTAGTCTATCTGTTGCTCTGCATACTTTATTTGTACCCTTTCATCCTGTTCTTCAAAGGTCAGTACCCCCACAGGACCACCACAGAGCAGGTATTATTTGGCCAGTGGATCATTCTCAGCACTGCAGTCACAAAACTGTGGCATGTTAGTGTGTGTTGCGCTGGTATGAGGGGATCAGAAAGTGTCCACTTACGGTCCACTCTATAAGACACACCTATCTCGTTGGTCCATTTTATAGATGTAAAGTTAGTGATGATTGATCTACTGCTGCACACTTTATCATCCTATAGTCCTTCATCTGGATACTGCTGGCTGTATATTTTTGGTTGGTGGACTGGCCCACCCTCAATTTTGGCCTGAGGACTACCAGAATGCCCAGTGGTAGAGAAAGGCCTGCTATAGAGGACATGTACTTATTTTCTCTTAGACAAATCAACAAAACATAATTTGCTTAGGGGCACCCAAACTTTTGCATATGATTGTGTATGGAGAGAGAGGGAGGGAGAGAGAGGGAGGGAGCGAGAGAGAGAGAGAGAGAGAAAACCACAACTGGAATAAGGTATAAGAGCAAAAAAAGCTTATAAAAACATTGCTTGCTCCTTATTCAATGGTCCCATTGTTGAGGTCTTCGATGCCCTTACTCAGCTGTATAGGTCGTGTGAGGTGCTTTAATCTGGTTTTTGCCACTCCCACATGACTAAGACTACAGTTCAGGAAGCCCAACCTTGATATGACACATTGCAAACCTTACACTGATAAGGAGCCACTCGTGCTCGTCATACAGACAAGGCCAGTTCAGCCCAGTGAAGCTCAACATTCAGATGTTCAACATTCACAAGCCATTACAAACTGTCTGAGCACAAATGAGAATAATAATGAAAGTACAGTTTTAAAAAAAAGAAAAAAAAAAACTTTAATGGAACAAGACAGGTCATCGGACAACCGCAAAACAAGAGGCCTGTTGTTTCATAATCTTACATAACATCATTGTCACATAGTTATCAAGTTTCTCTTGCTGTAACAGTTACACTCAAGGCGTCCTGCACACCGAACACTGTGCTACTACAAAACACAGCTATAGAATAAGTTGCATGGAGAGTGCAGATAAACGTTAAGTTCAAGCTCATTTGTACACTCTACTCATATAAATTTAATGTAATAAAACTTTCAACAACTTTAATGAATTCACTCTGTTTTCAAGGTGAAGGAAGACTAGGCTAGTCTAGGGATGTGTGCTTCTACACGGGTACTCGGTTAACCGTTCGTGGTATTTGAATACTGAAACCACTTTTTGGGTATTTGTTCAGTTCCATCACAGGAAGACATAAAATGGCTAACAATTCAGTGAAACATGATGGTTTTGCTCATCTGTTGCTAATACTTTGCTGCTATGAAACACATCAGCTTTAACATGAGCACATTGCCAAGAACATGCTGTTAAGGCCGTGACTGAGAAGGCGGAGATTGTGCGGCTTTATTTCTAACTAGGCTAACTGCCCTGCTGATGTTAGCTACGTCCAAAAACAGTGAAAAGATATTTCTCTGACAAATAACATGTTGACAAATCATCCAACATCCACTTATTAGCTCTGTTAGCTCATTAGCTCATCTGAAGAGGCAGCCTCCATTACTCAGCCAACACAAAATACTAGCGATGTCGCTCAGCTGTTTTTGAATAATAAGACATTTTCCTTTGTGTGCTGCCATATTTTTGTGCAACTACAGCGCGGTCACCTAAAAAAAACTAATTCTGTCCAGAGTCTGTTTTTTGCCATTGTTTTTCTTTTCCTGTGGTTAACCGGATATCCATTCATGAACTTCTACAGATACTCCGGGATCAAAATTTAGTCACGGTGCTGAGGTGACAGACGATCAGTGTTTGTCTGTTTATCCTGAAGACTTTACAATGACTGCTTTCTTCATGCAAATTTAAAGTGACCTACTTCAAATTTCACACATGATCCACACTGTTAGAAATAAAGGTTCTGTGCAATGTAAATTTTTTAGTCATCAAGGTACAAACAATGTAAATTTTCCCTCAAAGGTACAACAGTGGTTTTAAGGTCCATTTGTGCACCATAAATAGGTTTGTCCCAGTGCAAATGTGCATATTTGTACCTTTTCATAACCTAATATTTTAAACCAGAACAATAAAATAAAAGGCCTGGAGACGAGACGGGGTGTGTGGAGTCAATACAACTTAGAAAATATAATTTCAATTAATTATGCTACAATTATGTTCCCTGACTAAAGATACTGAAATGTACCCTTGAGGGAACCACCCCAGTGACAAGAGGGGCACCGCCCCAGTGACAGTTTAGTACCTTTAGTACCTGTTCTGTTCTGTTCTTTCAACCCATGACCTGCCACAAACATTACACTTTGGTCCCCCAAGGCAAAAAGTTTGAGCACCCCTCTTCTACACCAATTAAAGTTTTTTTCTAGAACTATAAATCCAAGTCAACTGTTTTTGAATCCTTATTTTTTTAATGTACTGTATATTTTATTTACATGTGACCAGACTGTGAGTAAAAGCTAAAATATTGACTGCTTAAACAATAAAATGTCTCTATTGCGTCAGTAAGCTGTGCAATGTACATGAATCACTGTGATTAGAAGAATCAGTTTTGGTCTTGTAGTGCTTTTGGCATCCAGCTGCCTGTGGAAACATGCCCAAGTTTCAGCACACCACAGCAGCTATAAACCACGCTTGGAAAACACAGGAGCATTTCAGAACAGCTGGCTTCGGAACGAAGAACCTGCTGAATGAGAGACGACCTGCTATGCCAAAACTACTCTTCTCGAAGATAAGGATCTACGAGTTTAAGGAGCTCATTCGAAACAAGAAGCAAGTCAAAACGTAAAAGATTTTCATTTTTCTTGAGGCATTAAGATGATGGGAGAGGGCAGAATCATAGACGGGAATCGTTGTGAGATTAGCCGGCTGTGGAAGCCAGTACTTTCTCATCATGTGCCAGAATGAAGAACATCAAAGCCAGAAATATTATTATACGAGGACTCACGTCACACGTGACCTTTGTGTCTTGTTTTCCCTAGACTGGACGTTCTCCTGAGCAGAAGGAAGCAGAAAAACGATATCAGATGTGTTTTAGTCCAGAAAATTACTCTCACATCTGATGCTGATTCTCAGTAAGTTTACAGCTGATGTTTTTGGCTATGACATATTTAGGCAGCACTACAATACAAAATGAATGCAAAAGAGATCCTTTAGATAAACTGAATTAGTGACTCTGGAGATCTGTGATTTCTCCTTTTCTATCCTAGCCTTCAAGAGGATGACATACTCAAGCCAAAGCTGGAGAAGCTGTTGGAGGACAAACGTAAGACCATAAAACCCTGTTTTAAAACACTATTTATAGCTTTAAAGTTTGGAAGACTCCACATGAAGTCTGTGACAGCAGCATCTCTCTTCCAACAGGCTACCTCGCTGCCTTTCGTGCTTTTCTCCAGTCTGAGTTCAGCGAGGAGAACATTGAATTTTGGTTAGCATGTAAGGAATACAAGGAGTCCACGTCGTCCAGCATGCGCTCCAAAAAAGCAGCAGAGATCTACCACGTGTTTCTCGATCCCATGGCTCAGAAAGAGGTCAGTAGATGAATCTGAGTTATGTCTTACGCCCCATCCGAGCAGAAGCCACAGTCAAATATGACCCATTCATTCCTATCACTCTCTAAGAGTTACATGTTTACTGGCCACTTTATTAGAAACAGCTGGGGTACAGCATTTCAGTAGTGTTCAGGTTCAGGTCAGGTCACTATTGTTAATATAAAATGTGAGGTAACTTGTTCAGGCCGCATTTCGTGCTTTTCCCCCGATAATATGTAAAACAAAAAAACAGCAAGTAAGTAAATTTGCATAAAAGTGTGCACAAGTGTGTGAGAATGCGTCAACTTATCTTTATTTAGATCAGGAGCGCCCAAACTTTTGCATATGACTATATAAGGTATACATAAGGTAGGCAGACCTCATAAAGTGGTCAGTGAGAGGAAGTACAAAGTAGTGTTTGTAATAAAGCAGATAGTGAGTATAGATGCCATAAAAAGGAAACGCATGATGGTTTGCGGTTATAAATTTACACTCTTAAAGAAAAATGTGACAAAGGGGGTGAGCGAGACCACAGAAGAAGGTTCCTAAAGAACTAAATGGCTCACTAAATGGTTCTTTAAAGAATCCTTAAAAAAAGATATACATGTGTGAATAACCTTCTTCCAGTGTTCCTTTAAAACGTCTGCATAATTAATTCATTGTCATTCTGTGGTCTGATGTGAAACCAGTGGTGAGAGAAAGAATTTAATGTCTCTGAAAGCTCTCTCACAGGAAGCTATTACATGAGATGGTTACATATATGTTGATGGCTGAGACACTGTATTACAACAGCTTTTAAAAAAGTATTTTGTTCTTAAATGCATTTTTAAAAATACATTCCTGGTGGAGAGGCACTTGTGAGGCAAAGTAGGCCCCAAAGAAAGCTTATTTTTTCAGATTTGCTATTCTGGATAGCAAATAAAATGGCAACATTTGTGCTGGAGACATGGCGACCCCTGGTTCCTATCATCCATCCATCCATCCATCCATCATCTAAACCGCTTATCCCTCTGGGTCGCGGTGGGGTGCTGGAGCTGGTTCCTATCACCACCACCAATTAAAAAAAAATCTGACTGTAAATTTCTCTGCAGTGCCCCATTTCACATCAAAGCACTCTGAATGACTTTGGTTACATTATGATTCAATATTTTAACCTGAAAAAGAATATAACCTGGTTTGCTCAAGACAAACAATAATAATCTTTGTGGTACATTCTGGTACACTCTTATAAAAAGATGGTTATTCAAGGGTTCTTTAGTTAAGAAAACGGTTCTATATAGAACCATGAACACTCAAAAAACTCTTTTGATGATTAAAGGGTTCTTCAGATTGGAGAATGTGCTGTAGATAAGGGTTTCAACCGCTGGGCCGAGGACCACAAGTGGGCCGCAAAGCACCCCTTGGTGGTTAGTGGACCTATACCTCGGGGAGCCAGTGGTCCATAGTGGGTGTGGAATGGCGTTTTGTCATAAAAGTCGGTGAAAAAATAATTGACTTAAACAACGAAAAAGAAATATAAAACATTTTCAGACAGTTAACAACATTAATACAAGCCCCACAAAAACAGAGCACAAAGGCAGCTTCTTCATTTATTTTGCCCTTTGCCTCAAGAAAAACCTGACCTTCATCACATATTGCAAGAGTAGGCCATTATACATCACTGTGTTGAACATTTCCCATTAATGACATTTTTAAGCAAAACTGTTGAGTATTTTTTTTGTGGGCCTTCTAGTGATAAACAGGTAGGCCTTGAGGTGGAAAAGCTTGAGAACCTCTGCTGTAGATGGTTCTATATAGAACCTTTGAAGAATGGTTCTATATAGGGTTCTTTTACTGTAACAATATCAAGCTTGTAACAATAGAAGAACCCTTTTGGGTGCTATATAGAACCCTTTTTAAAAAGGTTCTATATAAAACCATCTACAACAGAGCTTCTCAACCTTTTCCATCTCAAGGCCCAGCTGTAGCTGGTCCTTCAAGCTTTCTAGTGATAAACCTTCAAGCTTTCTAGTGACAAACAGGTGGGCTTTGAGGTGGGAAAGGTTGAGATCTTCTGCTTTTTAAAAATGGTTTATATAGGGTTCTTTTATTGTAACAATGTCAAGCTTGTAACAGAAGAACAATATAGAACCCTATATAGAACTCTTTTACAGCACATTCACCCTGTAATCATGCAAAGGCTTCTTTGAGTGTTCATGGTTCTATCTTTTCTAAAGAACCGTTGAAGAACCATCTTACTTAAGTGTGTAGTATTTGAAATTCATTGAACTAAAAGGCAACCAGGTCACTTACTTTTTTAAATGAAAACACAATCATTTTTTACAGTGTAGAACCCGCACATCCAACCTAGAACCATTTCAAAGAACCTTTTTTTAACCTTGTTTTTAAGAGTGTAATCAATAGTATGATCCACAGTGTATCTAGTTCTGCAGAACTTTTACTCAGTCTTCTTTGCTGATTGGGGCCGTGTGCTGTTTTTACAGGTCAACATTGACTATCACACACGTGAGAAGATCAAGAGATCCATAGTGAATCCTGATCCATGCTGTTTTGATGAGGCTGAGAGACTTGTGTTCAAGCTGATGGAGAGAGACTCCTGTCCCAGGTTCCTGAAGTCTGTGGCCTACCAGAACGTCAAAAGGAAAGCCATGGGTGTAGGGACCTTCCACCAAAAGATTACTTCTTGAGTGAAAACGAAAAGCAACAGAACGTCATATCAGACCATGACTCCAGGAAGTGTCTAGGAAGAGGATTTATGCACGTGGCTTAAGGGGAATTACTGAGGAGAACAGAAAGTATACAATGTGTAGAGCTCCTATATGAAATGTTTCAACAGTTAGTACAATAGTAAGGCGAATGAGTGGACATGTTTTACAAGCTGTCATGAAAGGATCTGCAATAAAAGATGGTGGAAAAAAAAGACGAGTCACATTTATTACATGTCACAAGAATCCTTTTCTTAGTATACAGTAATTACATTGTTAATCATGTAGACTATTGGTTTACCACCAGTAATTATAGCAACTAGCATGACTGTTTCATGCCCGAGACCAACGGTTTGGTGACACTGATTATAAACTGCGTCAACCGTGCAAACATAAACAGCAGTCAGACTATATTTAGAGGTCTTATGACATTGACTAATTATGAGCAGATAACAGACTTTGAGGAGAAGTTTTCCACCATTGGCGTGCAAGTTCTGTTTTGGTCACATGCCTGATCCGGGTTAATTGGTGCTGAGACAGGAGTCGGGCGACAGTGTCATGAAAGATGAAAACGAGCCACGCTACTGCTTGACCTTTTTCTGAAAATGGCTTAGTTCTTGCCATCCCAAGCTTAAAAAGGCAATTCTCAGGCGCTAAGAATAACTTGTTTGACTGACCTCAAATTCCACCCACAAAGTGAGATGTCATCAGTAGCCTAATCCGTGGCAAATCACCCTTAATACATCTCCTTCTTGGGAAAAAGTAATCTGATCAAGGCACTACTGTTTTACTGGAATTCTCTGGCTAATGAATAAGCTTGCTCTTCTGCCTAATTGAAAAATTACTGAGCACTTATTGAATTAAAAGTGTAAGTATTTTACATTCACCCCCAGTACATCTTGTCCCCATGCACTCTGCAGCGTAGTGGCGAACCATGACTATTATAGTTAGGCCTTCAGTTTGGGCCATAAAAATGAAAACTCAAAACAAAAATGAGGGAACTCAAACACTTCTAAAGCACAATGCTAATTTTTGCTAGCATCCCTATGAGTACCACCCCAGTGACAAGAGAGTACTGCACCAGTGACAGTTTAGTACCTTTATTTGTGAGAGTGTACCAAGAAGTAGCTTATGTGAGCTTGTGGATCAGCTGACTCACTGTCACGGCAATGCAAACCCATATCAGTAAGGAAAATGTTCTAGTTTTCCAGTGTTATATACATGGTGTGTTAGTGTGTGTTGTGCTGGTACGAGTGGATCAGACACAGCAGTGCTGCTGAAGTTTTTAAAGACAATTATTGTTCATTTGCTGAATTTAACAAAAAAAGAGAAAATGTGGAAATGTTATGGCACCCTTTCCCAATATGTTCAACTCAGCAAATAAATGTAAACAATACACTAAAATTTGTGCAGAGAAACGCCATATTTACAATGATCAGGCATAACATTATGACCACCTCCTTGTTTCTATGCTCATTGTTCATTTTATCAGCTCCACTTACTTTAAAGGTACACTTTCTAGTTCTACAGTTACAGACTGTAGTCCATCTGTTTCTCTGTATACTTTGTTAGCCCCCTTTTACCCTGTTCTTCAATGGTCAGGACCCCCATGGACCCTCACAGAGCAGGTACTCTTTGGGTGGTGGATCATTCTCAGCACTGCAGTAACACTGACGTGGTGGTGGTGTTAGTGTGTGTTGTGCTGGTACGAGTGGATCAGACACAGCAGTGCTGCTGGAGTTTTTAAACACTGTGTCCACTCACTGTCCACTCTATTAGACACTCCTACCTTGTCAGTCCACCTTGTAGATGTAAAGTCAGAGACGATAGCTCATCTGCTGCACAGTTTGTGTTGGTCATCCTCTAGTCCTTCATCAGTGGTCACAGGATGCAGTTGGCTGGATATTTTTGGTTGGTGGACTATTCTCAGTCCAGCAGTGACACTGAGGTGTTTAAAAACTCCATAATGTTATGCCTGATCGGTGTATATATATATATATAACAAGCATGCTGATTATATGGAATAATGAATTTTACAAAAATAATAGAGCCTTAGGCCCTGAGGGTTCCTGCTGAAATGTATGGGTGATCCATATGACTGTATCATGACAAACTACATCAAGCACATTTCATCACAATAGAAAAAGAACACTAACTATGTGTTTCATTACAAAGAAACCATAACTAGTCCAGTTTAATTGGGTTTAGAACAGTGCAGTATGTGAAAAGTTGCATGAAATCATTGTAACCATTGTTTTTGATAGTATTTTTTAAATGTGGTACTGCACTTTCTTTTATGTCTGTTTCAACTCATCAAAACTAAATACCGTCATATGTATTGTGTGCTTTGTGTGTATCACAATGTTATGTTTCTTTGCCATATCACCCACTTTGACTGAAACGTCAGCACTAATATTCAGCAGTTCTCTGGAGGTCTTGGGCTTTCTTGGCATTTACTGAGCCAAAAGGCAAACAACATTTTTCTGAATCCTGAAAACATTTCTATGTTATTTCTAACGTCACAAAGTGTTACACAGGTCAGGTCTGTGTTGACAGACATCCTTAATGGTTTCTAATTCTTCAACAATCCCACTCTTCTTATGTATTAACGACACTTTCTAACGGCAATTACTTCATAAGGTAAGTACAGCTTTTTTTTCCCAGTTGCTTCATGACCCGATGAGGTAGGACACAGCTATAGGGAAATGAACTTGCACAAGAGATGTTGCATGCTGTGACGTGAACTAATTTTGACCAACGTCCTCTCGAACGTATTTGGTGGGCTTTGTGGACTTTCTACTTAGCAGTGAAGGTCTTGCCGACCGCCGTTAATCAGGCCTAAGCCAGGGGCGACACACAAACCGATCACTGACAATCTGCCACTGTCTTCTTCTGCCAAAATACTGTTGCCATGACAACAAAAGGGAAATGAGTAATACCCTGTGCACTTTGACTTTGTCTGAGGCACAGAATTGCTCAATTGCTTCCAGTGGCGGATCTAATGGTGGCACACGCAGAATGGTCGGTTTGAGTCTGCTGGTCAGCTGACTTTATTTTGCACATATTGACTCATGGAGCACTGTACATGAGATGTTTCCGACACATGGAGGAGACACAATGTTTGGTGTCAACGCATGACTGGCCATAGCCATTTTTGGCCAACTCGGGCTTAAACCTCACCCAGTGAAATGACCTAGCAGGGTTCACCAGCCTGAGGGCTGTTGTTTGTTCCACAGCATTTGGTTGAACTGCATCACAGTCAAGCTTCATTTCTAGAATTCAGCAGAACTCAACCTTTAAACAAAAAACAAAGTAATACAGCCACGGCATGGCGAGGAACTGCACAATTGCACTGGTACAAAACAACTTACTCAAATTTGACCCTGACGCACTCTTAAATAAGCTTTCACTTTCCTGAATGGAAAAAAGTCATCTAAAACAAAGCATGCAAAGTTCAGTATTTGCTTATCTGCTGTTTTACTGTGCGCACATGCATTTACATGACTAAAAATAAGGCAAAACAGCGCATGCTTTGACAGCGTGAGCAATGTTGCACTCTAACAGGCTGGAATATGACGGGCTGGCGTGAAGGAGGAGGGGGGGGTGGTTAGAGGGCTTCCTCTTTGCTGTGGTTCGCTGACTTCTCACGAGTGACACCAGCCCTTAACAACTCTGGCAGAGCATATAAAGAAAAGGCGGATGCCGGGGGAGACCTGTTGAGCACCAAGTGCAGCATGACCACAAACAGGACTGCAAAGCTGTGGAGTTCCTTTCTCTAAGCTCCTTCCTTTAACATGACCGGCCTAATCTCTGAGCCTCTTGTAAAGCATTTCAACATGGACAAAGATGACCGCAAGAGAAGCAAGAACCTGTAAGTGCAGACTCGACTACAGTCGTACAGAATCTTCGGCTATATCTTGGGATTATGTGTCCATACAATGGAATACGTTGAGGGTTTTTGCATGGTATCACTGCATGCTGTAGCATAGGTACACATGTGTGAAGACTGAATTACCGACCACAGCTGACTTTCTCTCCATAGAGGAAAAAGCTTCATGTGCCGACTACAGTGTATGTTCTCCCGCTCATCTGCTCCGGAGAGGTAAGCATCGGGCTGTCTGTTTCCAATATTGAGATGAATCATGAATGTAAACAGTAAGGAATAGGGATGCTTGAGGTGAGCCTAGAAAATAGGGAGGGCACATGTGAATCATGGATGGAGCTACTTCTCTGGAATGCTATATTACTTTCCCATATGTTCTTGACGTCTTCACAAAAAAGTCATATCTCCTAACCTAGTCAAGTAATCAAACCTTTCCTTTTCCAGCAGGTTAAGTTTAGAGGACACACAACAATGGTCCCAGTCTTTGGAACGGCTCCTCGAGTCAAAATGTAAGCATCCTGCTTGTTCTTACACGGTTCTCAATGTCCTTAGTATTAACGGTCAAGTAATCAAACTCTTCAACCATAAATTAGTCTCTTGTACATTAACGGCAAATCTCTGTTGGTCTCTCCAGATGGTTTAGCGACATTCCGCACCTTCCTCAAGTCCGAATTCAGTGATGAGAACATAGAGTTCTGGTTGACATGCGAGGACTACAAGAAAATCAGGTCGTCTTTCAGGATGACATCGAAGGCGAAGAAGATCTACGAGCAGTTCGTCAAAGCAGAGTCTCCTAAAGAGGTAAGCCAGCATCCAAAAGGGAAACCCCATATGCCCTCTTCAAGCTCATCACTGCCTGACCGATGTGTCCACAACATCCTTCAGTTTCTCATTTGCATTGCAGATAAACATTGATTACCACACAAGGGAGCAGATCAAGAGGAACGTGAAAAGCCCAACGGTCCAGTGTTTCGACGAGGCACAGAGGATCGTGTACGGACTCATGGAGCGGGACTCTTACCCCAGGTTTCTGAGGTCTGAGACGTACAGAACTCTTCTGGATTCCCTTGCCGCAGACGCTTCCCGCGGATGAGGGGACGGAGGGAACCTCCTAGCAACACTAAAACTGGAATGACAAGGTTTCTTCCTGGAGAACCCACTACTAGAGAGGGCCCAGGACCCCCCTCCAGCCAAGCTGTCCGACTAAAACCCAACTTCGACTCCGGGATCAGAAGAAACTGAATGTGAAAGTGTGGTGCTGCACCCTGAAACACTGTTGGGTGGTGACAAATGACATGAAACAAATCAAGCCAAAGCAAGTCTAGGAAAGCTAGCAAAGAAGCCAGTCAACCCTCAAAAGCCCTGGAAAAGTGCCCATGGCACCCTGTCACTCGGAAACACTTCCTGTGCAGATAAGGATGAGGGGCACTGAAGCCCATCCGGTGGTTAGAAAAGCAGCAGAGTGGGCAGAAACACTATCATGTGATCACAGCACTTACGGTATGTCTTTGAGAGAGAAAGACAGAGACTTTGCAGAGTCTTTATGGACTAACCACATGACTATTAGGAGGAGAAATGATCTCACGAGAACAATTGGCCATATTTTGGCATCAACGCCGTAACGCCGCACAACTGTGTCGAATTAAAGGAATGCATGTTTGTGACTAAGCGTGAAACTAAATCAAAAATAGTGAGGACATTAGAAAATGTGTCACAGAGTAACAGAGTGGCTGAAAGTTTGATCTGTGTAGTTTCATTCAATCACTTAGAATGTTCAACTGTTTAATTTAAATGCAGATGTAATTAGCTACAGACTATTTATTATCCACAAACACTGGTTGAATGTTGCTGTGTCCAATGTACCTATCGAAGATGAGGAAATAAAGCTTGAATCTTCAGTGGTCGGCTGCTTTGGTGAATGGCAGTCTCGCAAACGTCGAAAGCCGCATGTCTTTTAGAAGAGATCTTTCTCCTTTTACGTCAGGAGAGTCATCTGCTGACTTTCAGACAGCTTCTGCACTCTGGCAGACACGTCTCGAAACTCACATTTTCTGTAAGACAATTACCCAAGAAAAGGGAACAGCTCGGTTTCAGTTCCGCCAAAACAGGGAATTAAGAAAGAAAAGACTTCACGAGATGTAGAATGTCGTGTTTGGCAAAAGCTGCTGTTGGTCATGCGCTCTTGATATTCTAATTATTTCGTGGTTGCACCCCCACCATTGCAAACTACTAATATTTGTTTGTCTTAACTGTTCTGTCCTCTTAAAAGTAGGGATTTTAGCTCAGAACTGACAGGAACAGTACATCAAATGATTAGGATCTACACCCTTGTTACTTTCTGTATACACCTCATGGACACTAAAAAAGGGAACATAGATGCACATCCTTATTTACACCATAACCTTTAACAGAATCAGGTGACAATGCCGCTTCCACCTCCGCCCAGAGGAGATGGAGAAGATGATCTTGCTTAAATTAGGTACTTTTAGAACGGCAGTAATGGTCATTGTGACCTCACAGTTTCATAGTTGTTATTGCTGTTGTCGGAAGAAAACCTCGTATCTCCATTTTTGACAGTTTTGACATCATTTGAAAATGCCTGTTACCCTTTACATTGTATGTAAATTTCATGATGAATGGTCTAATGGCCGAAATGGCCCAACATTACTTTGAAAAAATCTCTAAACTATCATAAAGCCTCAGACATCAGGCAGTGAATTCATAACCACTTCATTTTCAACTTTCTGAGCAGGAAGACATGTGGTTCCTATCATCACCACTACCAACATTTCTAACTTGGTAAGATTTTCTAACAGTGGTGATGATAGGAACCAGGGTGTCTACAGCGCAAATTTTGCCATATTATTTACAATCCAAGATGACCAGTCAACCTATACATGTCCTCTGAGCTTTTAGAAGATGTTAATAGTGATAAAATGGTGGCGAATCTGCACTGCAAACTTAAATTAGTAGACTTTACTTAAAATATAATGTAAAAGTTATTGCCTCAAAAAAGGGTTCAGCTTAACTGACACTATATATGAGTTACAGTTACTTTCTAATTTTCAGTGATCCACACTTCTGCAGCAAGTAAGGTTAACACAAACAGCCTCAGTAGTTATGAATGGTTTCCACTGAGCTAGCAGGGCTCTACTTTTTCACCTTCAGCTCACTTTTGACTCTAGTTAGGTTAACTTGAATCAAATATTCATCCTTGTGTGATGAACTGGCATCAATTAAGACAACTTCATTATTGTTTTGTATAGTAACGAATTAATAGCTTAGATAAGACTAGAATCACCCATTTCTGAGGACTCCAACAGCTTAATACATGTTTGCCATTCTGTTAGCATTCATAGCTACAGGCCGAACTAAACCTGAACTCAACACACCCTCATAGTGAGAATAACAAAACTCGTCAAATGCATCCAGACTTCACACTTAATATGAGAGTATTAAAATAACATTTTGCAAAGAGAATTACATTTAGAAATTAGAAAAAGAGGAGTTAATTAACAGAAACCAACAAAACTGCTACAAAGCTTTTCAGGGAAAAGAGTCTGTAGGAACTATTCAAATGAACTGATCTTAACTTATCTAAGTAAATATGGATTATACAAGAAATAGAAATAATAAGTGTTAATAGATTAATAGATTTGTATTAGTAATTAGTGAAAGTTTTTCCTTGGTTACTTTTTTGCCTTACAACAGCGTGTACCTCTTAGCCATTCATTTTTTTTTGTTGAATACATTTCAAGCCAAAATCTTATCTCAAAACCATCATAAAACCATGTCTCAGACATCAGGCAGTGTATTCATAACCACTTCATTTTCAACCTTCAGAGCAGGAAGACGTCTGGTTCCTATCACCACCACTGTGAACACCTCTAACTTTGTAAGTTTCTCTAGAATGGAACATTTCACACCGGACCACTCTGAATGACCTTGTTTATGTCTTTTCTGCCTAATTATGCAGAAATTTTGAAAAAGTGGTGTAATTTCCCTTCAAGTGGAAGTGTGTACTGTGAAAAAAAAAGCTTGAGTAAGAGGTTAAAAGAGTTGCAACACTCTTGCACTTTAGTCAACGTCAGCAACACGTTAAAAATGAATGAGCAATACTGGGACGCTGACATATGAAGCTGATTCTGACAGAGATATAAGATCAAGCAAATAATGTGGCTCTGTTGACAATGTGATCTAAACTTAGGAGTGAAAGTTTCAGTAACAAAACATTACCTCTCATGTCACATTTGACAAATGTAGTATGAGAGCTCTGTCACGGACTCCGAGAAGCCATTAGAAGAGTGACACAGACACGTGACACTAGATCTTTTGTTCTGGATGTCCTTGAGTGAAAGGACTTGCTATATAAAAGTAACCTCCTCTTGTAGCTACACATACAGTAACTGACTTTACACCCCTGAGCACAGTGTGTCTCCGCTTGCTGGGAACTTACAGTGTGCGTAAGGCCCTTCAGAGCATTCTCTGTTTTCGTGGAAACTTGGCAGTGGTCGCAGGGCGAGCCACTTAAGAGCAGGACGGTTATTTACAGTCCGCACATCATAACAGATACTGTAGCTCTCATGGCCACGCGGCGTAATATATGAACGGCTGGACGTTCTGGTCATAATATTTATGGAGCAGAATTTAGTCGGCCTGTTTCAATATTCCGACTCTCTGTGGCTGCTGCTGACGAAAGTGCACTTACACAACTCACAAACCACAATCTTTAAAGAAAACCATCCATTTCCGTTAACACATGCAAGAAATGATATCTTGGCAAGTGAAAACATCTTAAATCTAGTCAATATTTTTTAATATTTCTCATCATGAGTTTATTGTAGGAATATTATTCTGAGATTATTTAATTTGTCTGGATATTTACTTGTTTTAAAGAGCCCACATCCTCCACTTTTCTTGTACTGTACCCCCCCCCACTTACAGTCATGTGCAAAAGTTTGAACACCACTGGTCAATTTACACATTTGTTGACTATAAGTTAACACCCCCTCTACAGGAAACTCACTTAAATGTGACCTTCTTCAGCACAAGTTCTATTTACTTGCTGAGTAAAACATAAAATATAAAAGGTGCCATAACTTTTTGCACAGGCCACACTTTCTGTTTTTTTCCCCAATATTCAGCAAAATAAACACGAATTGTGCATTAAAATGTAAAGTGTGTTGAGGATGTTTTAACTTATTTACACTTAGAAAATCAAACAAACATGTCATTTGACCAAACTTTTGCATATGACTGTATGACATTTGTATATGTGTCAAAAATAAAGCTCATGTTTACTTGACCATATTCCCACTTTTATCCCTTAGAATTAGTTGTTCTTGTTGCAGTGCCTTTAAGACTGATTTATGTAAATGAGCTCTGTTCTGACTGGCTCTGTATTGTGCCTCCTTCAAGAAGCAGTCTACGTTCAAACACTCCTTATAACTTTAGCTTGAATGGGCGGGGCTAAACTGCTGTAGGCTGAATAGGTGGATAGGTGTTTCTGCAGTTAGGTTTTCGTATTGACTGAGGAGTGAATAGTATGTTTTGAAACTTAAATAGTGTTTACGTATTACGTCAAACTGTTTTATTTCAGAAAAGTTAGAAAATTTTGGTTTTCCATGATATCAGCCCTAAGTTTTTCCAGGGATATAGACAAATTTTGAGAAATGATGCTTGAAACAAGCATTATCTGCCATAAGAATACAACATCTCTAGGTATAATGACTTAAAACATGATGTAAAACATGTCTAGAAATAAGGTAAATATTCATATTATTTATTTTACAACAATCTCATAACATCATTTGAGCTCAGCAGCTGCTCTTAACAGTGTGTGAAAATTTCATCGTGAATGGACCAATAGAAATGCTCCAACACAGCTCAAAATAAAATCTCTTTACATTTACACTTTCATTAAAAGTTAAAAATGCTTCTCCATTTGGGAGATTTTTTATTTTTGTTTTGTAAGTTTAAGATGATTTCACTTTCCAAGATAAGATGCCTCAGATGATATGTTGATTTTGTTGAGGTAAAAATAAGTTGCACAAAGTTCTATTTTGAGTTCAAAACACTGCAAAAAATATTTATTTTTATATTTATAGCATAAAACATTGTCACTGTCCAAAGAAAAACAAGCATCTCCAAAAATGGTAACTTTACTAACTTTAGAGAGGGCAAAAACACTCTTAACTTTTAACACAAGTTTATATAAAGACATTTTATTCCAAGGATTTTTTGAAGCATTTTTATTGGTCTATTCATTGTGTATTCTACACAGGCCACATTTTACGTTTTATTTTTTCCCCAACATGTTAAATTGAGCAAATAAACAGTAATTGCGTGTAGAGGATGTGTACTCATATTCGTTGCGAAAATCGGCCAAATGTAATTTCACTAGAGGTGTTCAAACTTTTGCATATGATTGTAAAAAAGTCCGAAATGATCATCGGAAGGAACATCTGCTGAAACTGTGTGCTTTTCTTGCCGACGTGCATCAAACAGGAAAATGATGACAACGATGACACAACAAAAAGGAAGTGGTCACAACTCACAGCATGTTAGCAACTTTTCCAGTGGTCAGACTGGACGATGAGCACGTATGTAAATGCTTTTAGGTTATTTAAGAATTTGGTATTATTCTGTTCTGTTTTCCTTTGACCAGCAACCACAATCACTTGACTTTCTGAATGCAGTAACTCACAAGAACTCTCGGTGTTATGCTAAAATCCTGCAACACATTTACAGACTTTGAGTCTTGGCCTATTCCTGTTTGTTGTACCATCTTTGTCATTTGACCCACATCTATACTCGCTTGGGTTTCCAAATACAATAACCCACCAGTAACCCCTGAATTATCCTTCCAAAAACAAAACCTTCAAATTTATTTCCATAC